TTTTTTTGATAAGAGCCATTTTTTTTTTATTAAGACTTTCCTTTTAAACTTAACACCACATTGCAGACATCCCACCACACCTGCCAGTGCTGACCTAGCTCATTGATCACCCATTTTACCTATTTAGAATTATTAGAATAACACAAGATATAAAGAATATAGACTGTTTCAGGGTGATAGTATTTCAGGCAGTAGTTGATTCTAATTATTCGGATGACTACCTGGAGCCATAGTTACTTAAATATGTCATTATAACAAATTCACCCTAAGAAATTGTACTTTTTTCAATGACAAAGCGGCTTGGGCACATACATCGCATTATCAAAAAAAAAAAAATGACAAGAGGGCGATGGTATTGCAAATTACTTGCCTTGGTAATAAATTATAAGCACCAATCTCTCCCTACCCCAATGTATGAATATTTTCCGAGTTGCAAACATATATTTACATTTCTATGCCTCTAATGCCTTTTCATTTATTTTGAACCTCCTTGAGCGGGGGCAGAGGGGGTTTATTTAAGGTGGAAAGAAAAAATTCTCCTGCATTCTGCTTACTAAATAATATGTGTTTTATTTACCACAAGATCATTCCACGCTTCCTCCCTCAATTTCCACAAGTCTTAGCATTCTAATACTCTCTTGACTGGCTTCATCCTTCATTCCCAAGAACTCAGCTGAGCTTAATGTCTTCCTAATTAGGTACCAATTCTTTTCCTCATCAGTTAAAGAAACAAGAGGAAAGATGTACTCAAGAGGATTGCTATAAGAAATACTAATATATAATAGACTTTTACGTAATGGGGTTGATCTAAATAATAGTGGAAGTTCCTTTGAGTCTAAAATAGTCTTATTTCCACTTTATGTGATTCTCTTTGATTCTCTTTCCATTGAGTCTTTTCTGTGTATTTATTACAGTTACTCAGATTTTTCTATGGAGGATCTCTACAACCTCCCTGTTTCCCTCCCTTGATTCAAAAAGCATCCATCTAGGTCTGTATAATAAGCATTAAGTACCGAGTCCTTTCATCTTTATTACAATCCTCTTAGAATATGTTTTTTCTTCTATTACAGATGAAGACACTAAGGCTTAGAGAGAGGAAGAAGGTTACTCAGATTCTTCTGGCTTTTAACTGTTAAAATCAGGTCTGAAAGCCAAATCTGTTTGACTCTGGAATGTGTGCTCCAGCCTCTATCAAGATGGGTGGTAGAGGTGACTTCCCTAAAGAGAACAGAAGTAGCACTGGCTAGGAAGTCAGATCCTTTGGGTTCTGGTCTATGCTCTGACACTAATCATTGTGTGGCTTTGGAAAGGTTCCTTAAATATTGGCCTCTTAACATTATCATTTCTTAATTTATGAAGCTAAAAGATTGATTTATCTTTTTGTGTGATTTTGTGAGTTACTATATAGTCCTGTAAGTTGTCAGAAAGCACTCATGGACCAAACAAAAGTAAATATACATATATATATGATGGTGCCTAATTTTGAAATTTGATTGTATGTATCTTGGAAGAGAATACTGAGAGAGTACATTTATTGTGAAGAATTAACTGAGTTCTTTATGTAACACAAATTGAGCAATGACTATGTTCAACATATGTTGGTTAATAAATAGGATTACAATTGTTGTTAGGGGAGATTCTTCACGAAACTCTTTTCTTGGGACATGTGCACAGAAAGGACACTACTGCAAGAGGGATTCTACCTAACAAATGCAAATATTGTAACCTAATTGTTTGTACCCTGACATTAACTTGAAATAAAAAACATCAAGCATGAAGTGACACACAGATATGTGTGTGTGTGTGTGTATACACATATGATTAGCACAAATTCAAATTACTATGTACAATGTGCCTACATGGATGGTCAGACTCTGAACTTCATAAGCTCAGGGTCCAGATCTAACTTACCCTTACCACTACACTGACCGCAGGACCCACCTTGCACACACAGTCACACGGGAGTCAGCAGAACTGCAGGACAGAGTGGGGGCTCTAGCAGCAAATCTCACAGATCATCACATATACAAAGTGATGATCCCATGGTACTGTCAGTGGTATTGTGTGGCTTTGGAAAGGTTCCTTTCCAAAGGAAAAATAGGGAGAATGAGAATATAAAATAAGGAAATATTATGATGAGTTATTGATATGGGTTTGGCTTTAGAATCAGTCTTATTTTAGAATAATGAAAATTCTTTGCTTGACCAAACTTTAGTCAGTCTTCTGAACCTTCTTCTAGGCCCATCTGGGCACTTCCTTGTAAAATTCAGTTTTAGCAAAGAATCTCTCATTAAGTCATTAATTTAGGAACCCCCCCTCCTTGACATCTGATCATTCTTCATATCTGATCAAGTTCTGCATTCCCCCCACCCTCCAGGTGACCTCTAATCACCCTGGCCTGTCTTCAGCAAGAATCCTGTTAGGTTGGATTGGACTTTCCAGAATCCCTGTGACCCCTGATATTTCCTTTTAGTAGTTTTCACCCACTGACCACTCCCCTCTTACACCACTGCTTGTTGGCTCTAAATTCCCATTTGCCTGTATTGTATTTGGAGTTGAGCCCAATCTCTCTCCAGCACATCAAGACCACTGCCGTGGCTTCTGTACCTGTCATGATGATCTTGAATAAGGTCTTCCTTACCCTGCTTGAACAATATCACTGAATAATTTTTTCTCCAACAAGTGCCAAGTTTGAATTTTTTACTTAACATAAACACAGTACTATTGAATATAGAATTTGAAAATCTTTTTTTTTTTCTGGATAATGTTTGCTTTAGGAAATAAGCCCAAAGCCCAAGTTAGCTCCATACTGGTGACATCTTCTAGATCCCTTTGATTAATGGCCACGTGACTCTAGGCTGTGTTAACAGAAGAAAATGATTAGGTTCATACATTCGAAAAGGAGAGCTTTATTTCTCATAAAGGGTTGCAGCCTGTGGGTGGCCATTCCTACAGACTGAAAAGCAGAACCCCGGCTAGAAGTCAGGAACATGTGCTTTGAGCCGGGGACAATACTGAACATGGTGGCCACATATATATATTTAACAAGCTATAGGAGTGGTCATGATAAACATGTGTCTGTACAATGGAGCTTTTTGCTTCTCTTGGGGATCCATGTTCAGAGAATGGCCACTCACTGGTGTCAAAAGGTGAAGCAGAGGATGTGAAAACCCTCTCCATAAAATGGTTAAACTACTCATGGTTGGTGGTTCCATATCAGGAAAGTGTGCTGGTCTGGATCGTGAGATTGATTTTTTTAGCCCTTTGGAAAAAAGCCCAATGGCTGTTACCAAAGTGGGGGGGGGGTGTAAGGAGGTGTGTCTAACCTCTCATCCTGTCATGGCTGGGAACGCAATCTTAAGTTTTCCCTGGGATCCCCTGGGCCAAGAGAGGGTTACCTGAGTCAGGTGGGGGCTGAGAATTTTATTTTAGTTCATAGCTGGTTCTTGAGACTTTTTGAATGTATGTTTCCTCATCTGAAAAGTGAGTGGGTGTGTGTGTGTGTGTAGTGGGACCATGAATGATGGTGATGTATATCAACACACTCCTCAAAAAGTTCTTGTGGTAACTGAGATGATGCCTTGTATGGTCTATTTCCTATAGTCCACTTCAAATATTGGTCTCCTGGCCCATAACTCTTAATAGGACCTTTCATATTCTGTTTTCATACTTGTATTTCAAGAAGGCATTGTCAAGGTGCACTTGGACCAGCCTTTTCTGGTTCATTTATCATTTACCGTATGTATCTGTACCCTGAGCCACTGCCTTCTTACGTGAAAGACATGTAATTTGTCCATTAGAACAAGGAAGAAATGCACTTTGTAGCAGTTGACTTCTAAGTCATGATCTGTAGGGAGACACATTTTTCTATCAATGTAAAGTGTCAGTCATCTTGGGTGTGCTCAGGGAGGGAAGCCAATAAGCTAGCTGCACAATGAGCTGTGATTACTAGTTAATCAGTTTAGCATATTTATTCCTTAATTTAATTCAAGTCAACGAGTAGCCTCATTCTCAAGTAAGGGAATTCTATGGCTGTGTGGTGCTTCAAAGGCCACAATTCCTGAATGAATTCAAAATTTAAAATTTCTCATTGTTTGCATTTCATTAAATCCTTGATTTTCCTGGAGGAAGGAAAACATCTCACATGGTTTTCACATATAGCAAACATGGTTTCTGAGTGTTACATTTCTCATGTACTCCACGTGAATCAATCATTTAATTTTTATTTTTGGCTTTGGGGAAGAAAATAAATAAAATGAGATTTGAGGAAGATGGGACTGGGCCCCAGGTTCTCAGGGCATCTGAGAGCCAAATTCACTCGGTGTCCTTGGGGATGGCTGTCCAGGGTGTGTGTTCATTCTGTAGCCCCTCACAGGACCCCCGGTGTGCACACTGTCTCTGCCTCTTCTCATGGAGGATTAGTAAGGAGGAGGTCTTTTGACTTTATATACCTTCAATTTTGGTATGTTTTTTCATCAAGCATATGTTACTTTTATAGTCCAAACAAAAATTAAAAGAATGGGAAAAGTGGAACCAACAAATAAAAAACTCACAACCCCTCTGTTGGCTGTCTCCTCCCCTGGTAAGTTTTTCTGACCCGTTTCCAAATCCCCTCCCCTCATCCATGTTTCCTGTGCTCTGCTCCTTCTCCCCATGAACTCATCTGGCTTTTCTTCACTTAGTTTTGGCCCAGGCCTCACTCTACGTGGTGCAGCAATTCTATGTTCACTGACCCATTGTTCTCACTAGATTAGCAGCTCTGAGAAAGCGGGATGTTTAAACTTATCTAGATTTCCAACATCTATCCTAGAGCCTGGCACATTGTAGATGTTCTGCAGATTCTGTTGAATAAGCAATGAAAGTAAAGGAACTTGGCCCTTCAATGAAGGGAAAGGAAGATGACAGTGTGACTGAAGAGCCATTGCCTGGCATTTCCTGGCCCCTCTCCTGGTTCTTGGCTGCAGCACACCCACCCTGCTCAGAGAGAGCTCAGCCCTGCTCCAAGCGCCTGCTCCAGCATTGCCCCGCAAGGCTGTGCTTCCACAGGGCAGGTGTGCCCTTTCCTTTACCTGAGTGCAGTACTGCTTTTCAAGCCTCTGGCTCTCCTTTTGTTTCTGGCAGGTCAGTGACACCACAGACACAATGGTGCTGTTGTAGTTCTCTTGGGAAGACGTCCAGGACATCAAGGCAGTGGTGGAGCTTAAAACATGGACGCTCACGTGCTGGGGCTTCTCAGTCAACTCTTCAATCCACTCTCCTGAGGGACCTGAACATTTCAAATCAGAACACAAGGGCAGTTTTACACTGAGCTGGTGGGAGGAAAGACTCTAGTTTTAAAAATCATGCTGTTCTCCTTTTGCCCTTGTGAAGAGATTCAAAGTAAGATTGGCAGTCAGACTGGCAACTCTTTCGATCTTCTGCTGAAGTCCAACTCCATGACCTCACAGCAGCCTCAGCAACCACAACCATGGTCCTGCTGGGAGTTAGAGGCTCCACTTCAGTCATCGTAAGCATTGGTTTGGGAGTATTCTGGTAAATTCTCCAGAGAGAATTTATTTCTCTCTTAACAAAGACTGGGTGTGGCAGTGTGGCATTCATCAGTGTGTCCAATTCTTTTGCCAGTAGGGTCTTTGCTGCCTAGAAATAATTGCTTTAAAATTAGGTGGCGCCTGTGGCTCAAAGGAGCAGGGCACCAGCCCCATATGCCGGAGCTGGTGGGTTCAAACCCAGCCCTGGCCAAAAACTGTAAAATTAAAATTAACCACTACTACTACTCCATGAAAAAATTTAAATTTGGCAGCAGCAGGAACGAAGAGGTAGGCCGGGGCTATATTAGAGATGAAATAGGCAACGGGTGGGATCAATTAAAGAAACTGAACCCTGGGAGTGGGGGGTAATTTGAGGGACAGAATACACTCCTTACTGTAAAATATCATCTCCACAGACGTGCCAATCTATCAATAGCTTTGTTCTTTTGGATTTCCACAGTGGTTTTTAGCACAGTGCCTGACACATAGGAAGGACTCAAGAAATGTTAAGGTCGTGATTAGCTACAGAAATTCCCTGCTGAAATGCAAATGTGCAGCTTCTTTTTATTTGCTTAAGATGCATTTCTCTGTTCCTTAATTGAATGCCGTATTGCTGGGCTAAAGCCCAGGAGAGGAAAAGGAGCAAGGGTTCTGCAGGGCAGAGCAGACTCTGGCTCTGTAAATAATGCAAATAGTGCAAGGGAAATAATAATAATAAGATGCTAACAGGTTAGCAAAGAGATACAGCATTCGTTATACATTATGTAATTATGCAACATGTGTATTAATGAGCCTAACGCTCAGCTCTGTGTTGTTTGTGTTTATATATTTTAATCCCTTAATTTTTGTAACAAGCCCATAAATACTACTATTAGGTCTCACTTTGAAGCAAGGACAGGGAAAGCAGAGCTGGGATTCATACGTGGGAAGTTGGATTCAAAAATCCATGCCTTTAACCCTGGGTGAGACTTCCTGGAGCACTGTGAGGTAGCAAAAAATCTGGAGATAGGAAAAGGGGGCCCAGACTTATGTTTTGCTCATCATTGGTCATGCAACCTTCGCCAAATGACTTAATCCTTCTGAATCTCAGTCTTTGCATCTGTCAAATGGAAAAAGCATGGAAAGTTCAAATTGAAAAGACCAACTGCCTTATTTTACTGACGGGGAAAATGAAGCAGAGACCCAAATGACCTGCCCAGTGTCACAGGCCTAAGGACCCAATCCAGATCTCCTGTTTCCTGAGTCAGGGCTCTGAGACATTATCATGATGCTTTCTGGGTAATCTGTTTCCCGAGATTGCTGTTACAATCAAATGATATTCTATCCGTTAGAGAACTGTATAACTGCGAATTGTAGTTACTGTTAGGAAAACACACCGAGAGAAAGTGGGAGGAAGCAAACAAACTTATTCAATAGTTTTGCATCAGTACTGACCTGAATTAGCACAAGGGAAGGGTCATAGCAAGCGGCACGGAAACAGATTTTGTCATCAAATACTCCTAGGTTCTAATCTTTGTTCTGACACTTGGGAAAATCATGGAGTTTTCCATGACTTGGTATTTTTTATATGAAACATGGGGATAACAAAAATGTTCCCTGCCTAAGGCTGTTGGAAGACGAATGTAAACTCTACCTTAACTCGTCTCTGGGAAAGGCTTCAAAAGTACATAAATAGAAATCATAATGCAACAACAAACATAAATCGTGATGTAATAAATTGCCCACTCAGTGCCAGAATATCTGAAACCGTTTTGTCAGGGAAATGGGCTGTAAATATAATTTGCTGGCATGTGATTACATTATACAGAGCAAAATGAAACCACCTTCATTTGTCACTCACTTATCCAGCTAAGGATCAGTATTTATATTTATAATATCCTTTGTCAAACCAAATGAGTACACACAGTGTATCCAAATAGCTTAGTGGCACGGAATAGAATTCCTAAGTACTCTCGAGTTTTATTGCTGTTTTATAGGCAGAGAAAAACCAAAATTTCTAGTGGTCCATATTTTTCTACATCAGGGGTTCTCAATTTTCCTAATGCCGCGATGTATTTTCATTGTTACAAAGGGGTCGCGACCCACAGGTTGAGAACTGCTGTTCTAGATGGTTACTAAAATGCGTTGACCCACAGGTTGAGAACCGCTGTTCTAGATGGTTACTAAGATGCGTTGACCCACAGGTTGAGAACCGCTGTTCTAGATGGTTACTAA